TAATGCTTGATTTGATTATATCTTCTTTATAACTGGCCATTTTAAGCCTCTAAAGATATGGGTGGCGGTAGAGAGGAATGGTTCTAAACCAAGATAAATGAGATTTGAACAACTAATCAGGCTCCAGGTAAACTTCATGCCCTTGAAAGAATCTTGCCTTGCCTGTCTGTGCCAGGCTGTTTGCTTACCTCCAAAAGCACCAAGGTAGTAAACAATTGTTGCTTGGTCGTAGAGCACCCCCAGTGATTTAGCCTCTTATTCATTGTGCTCTCTGTTCTGGATTTGGCCACTTATGCACTTTCCTGGGGAAATTTACTAGTTCTTAGTTTTGATATAGGTAAGAAGACAGACTCCTGGTGTACTTGGAGCTGTTAACTGCACCTTGAAATCTTCAAGGCTAATGAGTGAAAAAGAAAGAAAGGGGAAATGAATGGGGATACTGCAGGACAGACCCAAGTCTAAGGGTTAAAATGAAAGGACTAGATGGGAATTCCTGGGACAAAAGATTGGCAGCACCATTTCCTAGGAGAAGGGACAACATCAAGGAGGAGATTCAAGGCAGAATTTTTAACAACCTGAGGTAAAACTTTCCTCTCTTGTTATTATTATTGCATTATATAAAGTTAGGGATACAGATGAAACAGTTTGCCCAGCAAGATTTCAATCGCAGATGAACAATGAGTACTTTTTTTTTAGTATAAGTATGTCCCCAAATATATAGATGCCCTTTCTTGGAAGATGGTTTCCTTTCCTTTATTCAGTCTCCTTGTCTTGCATGTCTACCTAAAATCATAGCATTGTATTTAAATTTTAAAAATATTTTTACAGTAGTTTAGCATCAACAGACTCTGAGTATTTATTTTCCTCTATCCTCATCAATGTCAGATACTATTAGTCTTTTAAGCTCTGTCAATCTTCAGGACCAAAATGTAAGAGTTGTTTGTTTAAAGTACTTCTTAACTGACACAAACTTCCTTTGTGTTGTGATGCTTAGTATCAAGGTTTTGTTTAAGAATTTTAAGTTTTATTCTGTGAAAATCTGTACAAAAAAATTTAATGACATGTGTAAGTCCGGGGAAAGGAAATCCCAGGGCAAAATACCTCTAAAAACTGAAATTAGTCAAAGGGAGAAATAAAGTTTAAAACCCATTTATTGCTTACAAACATCAGTCCAGGGCTATCTCTCTGCTCCTGAAGAAGCAAAACTGGCCCTCCCCTCACCTCTCAGGTACAGATAAGCCCTCCTTGCCCAGGTAATTACCCATTGATATGGAGATGAACTTCTCTCCACCCCTGAGGAATGATGCAAATGCACGAAAGCCATACTTCTTTCCACCTCTGAATGCCTATTGATATGCAGATATACTAAAGCCAGGGGAGATATTCTGGAAATATTACAATTTTACCTACACTTTTAACCCCTTAGCTGCTTTAAAATTCCAACAGCTGATTTCACAGCTCCCTCCAACAAAACTGATCTGTTCGGTGGGTTCTCAAGTCAACGCTCAGCTTCATATTAGGTTTAGCAAAAGCGAATGTTTATATTTAAAAAGAAAACATCTGAACTCAGAGCCCATTAAAATAGAAAAGTTAATAAACTGAAGATGTCTTGTTAGGTGTTGCCCCTAATGGCAACATCTAGGTCAGATAACTTATATTGACTTAAAACAGCATTTCCACTAACTGTGTAATCATGTTTATAACTATTGCAATATGAAATTTAAAAAATCCCTAGTCTCTTTAATCCACATTTCCACAAAGAGCTGTTGAAAGAAAAAATTTCTGCTCAGTTGTTTTTCCCTTTGCTTAAAAAAAAGGGGTGGGGGGGGCAGGAATCCCACCTCACCTTGCTGCTGAGCAACAGTCAATCATTTATTATTCCTGGATCAAACACAAGCATTCGTGCCTGTGAAAACATTTTGCAGTGAATGGGATCTTGGTCTCTACTAAAAACAAAACATGGCTAAAAAGAAACTTCAATTTATTTTCAAGTTCTATGGCTAAATTCCTAACTGGTGAAAATATTGGCAAGCAACTAGATTTATTTAGGATTGGATTTACTTCTTTGGTGTCTGCCCAGAAGTGCTATTGAAGGCTCTTTGTGGCTGCCTTCTTAAGAGACCAGATGGACCTCAAATGGAATGAATATTGACACTGGCATCCAAAGCACAATGAAAGGCAGGAGAGAGAGTGGAAAGCTTTTGTTTTGAATAACTAAGTGTAACCAATTTTTACTTCAAAGTTTTAATATTTGGCAGGCCAAAAAGGTTGCTTCTCAAAATGACCAAACTTAGAGTTAAACCCTTTTTTGGTATTTTGACAGTAAATTAGTAGTTATTGTAAGATAAATTCTAGCCGGAATAAGCAGGCAAAGAGAGGCAACAAAGGGCCAGGTAATTTATTTAAATACCCCCAGGTGAGGTTCTGTGGCCTTGCCAGAGGCCAGAGAAGTCACACCCAGTTAGGGAGGTGGGGCGCTTATAAAGGATTAGGAGGGGGAGGAGTGGGCAAACTATCTTAGGGAGGTGTTGAGAGGTATGATTGGCTAAAGGTGACATAATAGTCAACTAGAAACTTTTTTCTTTCCAAGAGGGAGGAGGCTAACATCCAGGTCTTAGTTGGCACATCAGGATGGAATTCAGGGAGAGCTGTCCCCTTTCCATATACGGCACGGACTTTGGGGTCTGGTTTGTTCTCCCCCTATGGCATCTCTCTGTTCTGTTTGCATGTCCTTGTTTTTCCTTTCTCCACCCTAACATTCCAGCCTTTTGGTCATAATGGGCGATGACTCAATCTGGCTACTTCCGGCTGACAAGGGGCATCGTGGGGGTTTGAAGCTGGTATTAGGCCGAAGGAGGGGGTTCAGTGGGAAGAGGTGCATAACGGTGAAGTAACATCTGGTTGGTGGTGACCCGGGTCATCTGGGTTAGCTGCTGTTGGAGGAACTTGAGGACACAAGGGGCAACTAAGAGTAAACCACAAACTGTTATTAAGGGGCCCAATAGGGGCATTAGCCAGGCTGTTATGGGGGACTGGAATTCTGGATTGAGTTTACATTTCAATGACTAGTATTAGGATTTAGTATAGATAAGACTGCATTATTGAAACAATACTTTTCTGTAAAATCACCCTTATTTTTATTAGATGTAGTTAGATTAAGAAAATAATTAACAGTTGGCTTGATTATTTGCATAAGTGCAGCAAGAAGAGCAATTGATTACATGGGCTCTTTTAAATATGCTTTGCTGGAACTTTTTGTAAGGAATTTCAGATTGAACTTTTAAGGGCTTCTTGAGGCCAGAAAGCCAAGCCAGACTTGCCATCAGGTTGTGCCTGCAGTACCTGTTGATTTGGGTGAATTCCTCTCTTCTTGAGGTCTCTGAGACATCCTGAGATTCCTGCACCTGCCAGGAAGTGACCTTCTTTACTCACCTGGTAAGGCTGCTGGGAACTCTGTAAGCAAGGTACCAGGCCAGTTTTTCCAAGGGGCTTTGTTGGCTCCATGAAGTCAACCTTAGTTCCTTAAAGCCGTCTGTTCATATCTGAGTTTACACACATGTCTCTCAGGTATGACGTTCCAGTCAAAGCCTTGGTAGTATAACCAGTGTTTTTAATTGGTCCTCTTACAAGGAAAGAAGGTTCTTATTGAACTTATGCAAATAAACATACTGCCATGAAATATAAAAATAGTTACTGAGAGTTTTTAAATTCTGGAGGGATCAGGTAGAGAGAAAGATAAAGTTTCGATTCTGCTTATAAAGGCAGTCATTTACTAAACTGTTGCCAGCTTAAGAGAAAAAGCTTAAAACACTTTATCAGCAACATCTAAAACAAAAAGTCACAAAACGTCTTCTTTATTTCACTTAATCTTATGTAACCAATACCTGTTCTGCTGAAATCTAGTTCTTTACTAGCTTAAGAGTAATAAAACAGTGACTATAAATAATAAAAGACTTACAAATGACAATGGTTAAAGATCTGATGAGAGCTTACTGTAAGACAGTTGACATAAGGAAATTCTGATATTTCTGTAATACAAAACATTCAGTAACAAAGTTTAGCATTATTCTTTTTGACAGTGCTTCTTAGGTAATTAAGCAGGTAATTATATATCAGATAAATAAGCTAAATTAGCCAAATACTTTCTCCAATGAGAAAAAATTTCTCTGACATGTTCCAGGGGCCCTCTGGAAAATATCAGAGTTAACTAGAGGCAAAAGCACTTTTTTGAATTTGATTTTGGGAAGTTGTTAAAAGTTTTAAGACACTTGCTTAAATAGGACCATAGGTTGCTATGAAGCAACACTTACCTAATTAACTAGGATGGCAACAAAGTACTTCAAAGGCAAATAAAGGTTACACAGTTGTTATCAAAGTTTAGCTTTTAGTCTTCTTAATATTAAGATCTCATTTTCTTAAAGACTCTGACAACTCACTGAGACTTTAAGCATAAGAAACTGCTTTGATAAAACAATTAGAACTTTCTGCAATCTTTCAATATTAAGAGCCGACTAACAGTTTGTCTTTTTAACTGAAAGAAAATTTTGTCTTTTTAACTGAAAACAAAATTCTAATTTTGCTGTGTACTTGATACTGAGACTCATTTGCTTTAATTTTATATAGCATGACTACATTAAATTCTTAAGTAGTTTTGATTAGAATTTAAAACTATTACTTTAACTTTCAGTGAACACTGAAAAATAGGCTACTGTAAACTGTTACACTAGCATTTTTCAGATTGATACATTTATGAATGTATATTCTTTTTTGGAAATGTGCTTTATAGCAATTTCTTATTAGGCACAAATCTATATAACTTAGGAAACTTTTAAGAATTTTGGTTACTACAAAAATTCTCAGACTGTTTGCATATATATATATATATACTATTATACATTAATACAGTATTATTAAAATTTATTTGCTAGGCTTGTTTACTTATTTTTAGCAACTATGCTAGATTACTTACAAAACCTTTACTGAATGTTAGACAAAGCCAAGCATTTAAGCATTTTATTCTTAAAAGATTTAGCAGATAACACTGACTTAAATGACTTTAGGTAAACTTAGGCAGCTGATAACAGCAAGGACATGCCCACCTCAGCTAAACTCAAATTAGCTTTCATGCTTAACATTTTTCACTAGATTCTCTGGAAGTTCTAGAATGCTCAATCTTCACAAGCGCTTGTTTTTAAATAAAATATTTTTCATTTATACACCTAGACACACAAACGTACAAACTGAGATACAACAATTACAGTCAGCAACACTTTTCATATAAAAACATATACACAGACAAACTGATATAAAGATTTGAGTTTCTAATATTCAATTGCCTTCTTTCTTCTTAGCTTCTTGTCTGTGGCTTCTGGAACTAGAGGGTGGGAGGGGTATGTTCTGGTGGGGAAAGAGGGCGTTGAAGGTGGAAGGAGAGGGGGAGGGAGTGGTGCAGCCACCAGAAGAGGAGAGCAGGACAACAGCATGGTTGAGAATGCAGGACTTTACGATGGAGACGACACGTGGGAAAACACAGGACTTAGAGATGGTGGTGGAGAGAGGGGGAGGGGATTGCGAGCTGAGGGAGGCGGGCGACTGAGGTTCTGGCGGATCTGAAAAGGAAGGATTGAGCAGAGTAAGAGGCTGACAATCTTTAACTGGAGATCGGGCCAGGAGAACCTGAGTTATAGAACACTTAACATAAAGGTTTTGACGGGAGTGCAAAGTCCAAAAAGCCTGCACATGTGGGATTTCATTCTACTTTCCGCTCCGGTGGCAATAATTAGTTAAGTCGGTGAGGAGGCTAAAATCCAAAGTTCCCTCAGGGGGCCAGCGAGATTGGTTGTCCAAGGGATACTGAGGCCCGGTCTCAGAGCAAAGGAAGACTAACTTCCACTTGCAAATTTCCTGGGACAAACAGAGAGTAGCCAGATTAGAAATGAGACACTGCAGCGGGGTCTGAGCCTCTGCTTTCATGGGCTGGTTTCCCATGTCTGTGTTCACTTCCCAAAAAAATCCTGCTGAGAGGAGCGCGCCCAGCGTCCCAAGTGCACCAAGTCAGGGGAGACAGCCTGGGAGCCTGGTGAGGGACGTCTCCCCCACCACAGGGCCAGGGGCAGGTATCCCGGATACTCGCAACGGATGGGCTGAATGCCCAGACCTGGACGTAGCTACGATTTCGGACGGACCAGGTGAAACGGAGTTAGGAAGGGAAGCAGACCGGGGGAAACTGGGGGACTCACCGGAAAATAATCTACGCAGCAGAGAGCAGGCTGAGGTCCCGGGTGGGGGAAGGAGGGGGCAGGGCCACCAGTGACCGGTCAGGGCCCCATGCTCACACTCCCCCTGGGTTTCGGCACCATATGTAAGATAAGTTCTAGCCAGAATAAGCAGGCAAAGAGAGGCAACAAAAGGCCAGGTAATTTATTTAAATACCCCCGGGTGAGGTTCTGTGGCCTTCTTGCCAGAGGCCAGAAAAGCCACACCCAGTTAGGGAGGTGGGGCGCTTATAAAGGATTAGGAGGGGGAGGAGTGGGCAAACTATCTTAGGGGGGTGTTGAGAGGTATGATTGGCTAAAGGTGACATAATAGTCAACTAGAAACTTTTTTCTTTCCAAGAGGGAGGAGGCTGACATCCGGGTCTTAGTTGGCACACCAGGATGGAATTCAGGGAGAGCTGTCCCTTTCCATATACGGCACGGACTTTGGGGTCTGGTCTGTTCTCCCCCTATGGCAGCTCTCTGTTCTGTTTGCATGTCCTTGTTTTTCCTTTCTCCAGCCTAACAGTTATATCCTATCAAAATTCCTATCTAATCAACTCATTCAATCAACTTCGCCAAATACAGTCACCATCAATTCAGACACATCCAGTGGTCTTCCTTTCCTCAAGCCTAATCAGCCCTAAACCTAATTAGGACTCTAGAAACCAGTACAGTCCCCTGAAGTAATCAGTTCTCCCCAAAGTGATCAAACCCCTCCCCTCTAGCATTTCCATCAGCCAGTCGGCCACTAGGCTACAATCCAACAATCATCCATGAAATAAATGTCATTGTTGTCGAGACCCATGATATTTCAAGGTTTATCCATTCTGATCAATTTCATTTGGGGGATTTTAGGAATGGGTTCCTAGTTGAATGGTACCATAACAATAATTTTTCAGAAAGACTGTTGATCGTGTTCAGCAAAAAATTTCCTCAGTGTCATCCCTCCTTGCCAACAAAGGTGACCTTTGAAAGGCTTTGCAAGACCAGGAATGTGAAGTTGGAGTGTGGGAGCGAGGGTAGCCATTATTTCTAGAGGAAATGATTTATGTGATTTCCAACTTAACAATTACATTAGGATCATGCAATTTGCAATACAAAAGAATATGGCTGCCATTACTGAAAAGAAAAGAAAGTGAGTAGAGGACAGCCTAAGAAGACGGAGGGCTTGTTCAAAAGTGTTTCTCTCTCCCAGTACAATCTCAGTTGCCCTGGAGAAGTAGAGTTAGCTTAACGGCTTCATTATGATTGCCAAGGTATTTTCAGAAATATCTCTTTCTATTGCTGGAATAAATTAGATGATGCTCTAAACAGTTCAGCACCTGCCAGTTGGGTAATGTGTGATTTTTGCACAGGAGGAAGGACTGTTCAGATTGGAGGGGAATAGACTTGGGGGGTCAGAAGAACTATGTTCATATATCAGAAGGCAAATGATTAGGTGCATTTTATGTAGAAGCACAAAGCTGAATTAAAACTAGAAGGTAGAAGCTAGTGGAGGTTATGTTTTAGCAAAATTAAAGGAACAATGTGTTAGTAAGTCTGAATGAAACAGCTGGTGTCTTGCCAGTGGGTTCCAGCCCTGGGCAAGTTGATTGTGGATTCAGTGTGACCAAAGAAATGACAGTAAAATGTTCTTGGGGTGAAAGGGTTATATCCAACTTTATTTCCATGGTGGCAGGTCAATCACTAAAATCCTGTTCACTCTGCCTAAAATCCCAAGCAGTCTCTGCCTCTGGGCCTCTTGGCCCACACAGCCATCCTCTGGGCCTCTGTCCTCAGTGCTACCACCACTCCAACCTCTGCTCTGCTCTCCGTGTCGCCCAGAGCACTGGGCAGAGCTCTTTATATAGAGTCAATAGCAACGTATTGCCCACATGTATGTTGTGAGCTAGCCAGCCAGGGCCAGGTGAGGATCCTAGCCACAGGAACTTTCATTTTATCCACAGCTGGAATCTGAAAGTATTGAATTTTTTGTCACTGAAGGTATCCAGGCAGATGCTGGATGACTGGGGTCAGGGATATCGGAGAGAAACTTCATGCATCATGTAGAGAAGGTTGAACAAAAAGACCTCTGAAGCTTCTAAAGGCAACATTGTGTAGCTCCGCAAATGTCACAATTTGCTTAAGTAGCCACTAGATGTCACTCTTGTGATTTGCAATAGCAAGAGTGTTTCTGTACTGGTGCAAAATAGAAATCCGGAATATGACTAACATAAGTGAAATTTTATTAACAAAATGCATCCTTGTGTAATTAATTTTTTATAAATATTAGGAAAATTAAATATCACTTGAAGCAACAATTTCCAAGATCTAGTCTCAAAATTGGATTCACTTTCTAAATTCTCTTTTCAGGTAAGTCTTCTGATAGTCTTAGAATGTAGTTCAACTTGCCACAGAACTGCTTCTATCCATACACTACCATCTCTGAATCTCTCATCCATCTTCTGTGTGTATTGTGCCGGACAGGAACTATGTCTTGCTCTTTCCTACATGTCACATGGCACTCTACTGTATTCACACTACTATTACTACTACTAGCTTATATTTCTATTGTGCTTACCATTTATAAGCACTTACAGTATGTTACCTAATCCATGTAAAATCGGTTGTTATGGATTTTAAAATATGAAGAAATAGTCTAAGAGGGGTTTAGCAATCTGTCCAAGGTCATAGATAAGAAAATGCTTTCCAATTTTTACTATGTTAAACTACAGAGGCTCAAAATGCTATAGACAATATCTCTGCTGGACATTCACAGTATGCTTCAGCATGTTAAAAGCTCTGAGAATTCCTGGAACAAAGAAACCTATCAAACTTTAGCCCCCTAAATCTTCAAACATATCTATCATCTATCTTTTTTTTTTTCAGAATGTAAGTTATTACCTAACAGAATAGCTTTTCTATTGTGAATTGCTATAAGTGATGAATATCAAATCCAAACTCTATACTCCTTTTTAAATTCAATTTAATTTACTAGCATGTCTCGTAATATGCAATTCATTAAGAAAAAAATTGTGCCTCCATCTTCTCATAACTAAAAAGAAATTGTGTTCACCAAAATAGATTGTTTCCACCCAAAGGCTCAGTATGTGGAGAACTTGTTTTTGTCTCTCAGCACTTCAGGCAAACTGAAACTAATAAACAAACGTCCAAAATAAAAATTTCTACCTCCTCCTGTTCCTCAGACTTGTCTGGTGAACCTCACAGTGAAGTTGCTGTGCTAACTTCCCCGTGGTAACCCGTAGCTTAGACATGACACAGGCCATTTGACTTTGCCCTAATGGCTTCAGTCTCCTTGGTGTTAGCATGTGTTCAGAATGTCTGCATACCTTCAATGAGAGTAACTGTTGTGCGGTACCTGCTGGAGCTGTCAGACATATGCCAGAACTCAGGGGACATAGCTGGGAGGTTGATTGCTCTCTGAAAATGGACTTAAGGGCAAGAGACTAGTCCAGCTGGCAGGCCTTGTGAATGCAGCTTCATGTCTGGAAGGCCTTTCTTTCACAGGGCTGGGACCCACAGAGGCCCTCCCACATCACCGGGTGAAGTGTTTCCAACTCACCAGGTTCCTCACAGCACCCTTCACATCCTTGTTCCTCAGGCTATAGATGATGGGGTTGAGCATGGGGGTCACTATCCCATAGAAGAGAGGGATGAGCTTGTCTGAAAGGTCCTCTTTGTCTGCTCCCAGGGGGTCTTTAGCCTTGGGCTTTGCATACATAAAAAATAACGTTCCATAGAAGATGACCACGACTGTGAGGTGGGCCGAGCAGGTGGAGAAGGCCTTTTTCCTCCCCTCAGCTGACGGGATCCTCAGGATGGTAGCAATGATGAGAACATAGGAGACAGAGATGAACAGAACCGGGACCCCCAGGAAGATCACATTGGTCAACCCCATGCTGATCACATTGGTGGAGATGTCAGCACAGGCCAACTTGAGGACAGCCAGGATCTCACAGGTGAAGTGGTTGATGACATTGTCCCCGCAGAAGGGCAGCCGTATTGTTAAGGATGTGTGCACCATGGAAGCAGCACCACCAATAGCCCAGGAGCTGGCAGCCATGGGCACGTAGGCAGCCTTGCTCATGACCACAGGGTACCTCAGGGGGTTGCAGATGGCCACGTAGCGATCAAACGCCATCATGCTTAGGAGCACACACTCTGTCCCTGCCATGGCGAAGGAGAGGAACATCTGCACAGCACAGGCCGAGAAGGAAATGGTTTCCTCCTTCAGGAAGCCATCCAGGACCAGTGGGACCGAGGAGGTCGTGTAGCAGATGTCCAGGAAGGAGAGGTTCTCCAGGAAGAAGTACATGGGCGTGTGTAGGCGGGAGTCTAGAATGGTCACCAGGATGAGGACCCCGTTGCCCAGCAGGATCACCAGGTACATCAGCAGGATGAGCACAAAGAATGTTTTCTCCAGCTTTGGGTGGGCGGAGAGGCCCAGGAGAATGAACCCCACCACGGGGGAGGTCCAATTGGCTTTTTCCATACGTTATCTCTTCTGTCATCAGCAGAGAAAAAAGCAGTACATCAGGCTTTCTTGAGAAAACTCCTGTGCATCAGGTCAAGCCCCTGCAACACAGTAGAAGAGCATATTTGTGTAAGGGAAAATGACTCAGAGACAGTAGGGGTGCCCTTAGCTCTTAGATGAGAGAAGGTCAGAGCTGGAAAAAAACAAATGGACCAGCACTGAGCAAGGGCCTGAAATGTCCCAGCTGTGTGCTGGGGCTGTCCCGATGTTGCTGCACCCTCTCATTGGCCATAAAAGCAGTTGAGGCCGGAGAGGGGATGTGATCGAAGTCTTCTGAGCAAGCTGGTGACAGAGACAGGGCTTGAGCCCAGCAGAGCTAATCCTCAGAGAGGGCTTTTCCTCTGCAGTATGATTAATAGCTAGAAAATGCTCTGCATTATTTCTTTTTATTGTAAATATATAGAAATTTCACTTAATAAGAGCTTTCCTAGATTCACAGGGAGGAAAATCCCCAAGCTAATCCAATTCTTAGAACTAGCAAATTTTCAAGCTTCTCCAAATGTTGATTGCATTTGGAAGGAACTTGGATACAGGTGCTAATCCCCATCCACGCAGAGACAAGTCTGGGTAAAGGCTCAACCATAATGAGGATTGCTTCTTCACCAGCTGCATCTTCACATGCACTTGGCCATCATCATTCGCACCGGCACCTGCCTGATTTACCAGGGATTAATAGCAGTGTTCAGGGAGGTTCCTGTATGGGGAAGACCTTTATGAAATCAACACAGGCGTTAACTGGAGTGATTGAACCTACACTGTGGGATGACAACGGTGCAGCTTGCTTACCAGTTTACTCAGTTATGGACAACCACACTAACTACAGTTAGCAGTAGCGTAAATGGCATTAACCTTTAATCCCATTTCATTATAAGTTCTTAGCCAGGGTTACTAGGGAATACTTTCTCTTTGTCCTTTTATATCCTTTATTTTATTCTTATGTAATATTCTGGCTCTCTTGCCCCCATTTCATAGTTCCACACAAGCCACTAGCTTATAGAAGACCTGTCTGCCTTTGTGTAGAGGATTTCTAATTTCTTAGTTCCAATTGCTCAGTCTCTAAATGCAGAATCCTCATTGATAATATTTCTATAGCTCCTTCTTAAATGCAATGATGTGTGTCGGAGGGGGTGGGTGTTGGAAGATGAGTGGTTAACAATAACAAGCACCTACTCTGTGCAATATTCTTTGAAACCCGCCATGGAGAAGATACTGTCATCAAAGTTTGGTAGATGAAGTAATCAAAGCTCAGAGGAGCTGAAGAGTTTGTTCTGCGAGATTGAATGACAGAGCTAGGGTTGTATCGCATGCCCCAATTCTGAGTCCCTTCTACCAAATAGCTACCTTATTCTCTTGGTACACAGATTTTTGAGAGCCTGTCTCTCCATTATCAGGTCTGTGTATTCTTGCTTTCCACAAGCAGCTGGAATCTCAGATTCTCCAGGAATTCTGCCTGTATTAGCTTTCCAACCCAGTAATCACACGAGTATCATGAAAGCACCATGAAATGTAGGTTTGTGCTCCCAGAGCAGATCTCCGGAGCTAGATATTTAACAGTCCCAGGTTTCCACTCCCTCCCTGCTCCATTTCTCTTCCTCCTGCCAGTGATCTGGGGTGGGGGAAGGGCTTGGGTCCCTCCCGGCCACAGCTCTGGTACATTACCCCGTTCCGTTCCGTGAGGTCTGCTCTTTTCTCCAGATCGGTCTGTGTATTCTTTGCCCAGTCTCATTGTCCAGCATGCTCTTGCTACAGGCATGAAGGGGGAGTTTATGTCACAGGTGTGGTCAGGAAGTACAGCTCCTGCCGTGAATTGAACCCAGTTTCTCAGCCTCAGCACTAGTGATGTTTGGGGCCACAGCATCCTTTGTTGTGGGGCTGTCCTGTGCTCTGTAGGATGTTCATCATGGCCCTGGCCTCTGCCCACTAATTGTCAGTAGCATATGCTCCCTAAGTTATAACAACCCAAAATGTCTCCAGACATTGCCAAAGGTTTCTGGGAGGAAAGGGAGGTGCAAACTGTGCTCCACAGGGGACCATTGCTCCAACCCAGGGGAGAGCTCCCCCATTATGCAATCATGGATTTCATTGTGTTTCCTACCCAAGCATATTACTCCTCCCCTGGTGACTCAGTGAAGCTCAGGAGGGTGTTCCGGTTTGCTCTGGGTGCTCTACTGTGACATTCCATGCAACTTATCTCACAGTCTTCCCTCTGGCTGTCCCATAGTCAGGGTCAGAAACAAGATTCTATAGTGACAGGATATGCTGTGGTTGCAGAAGCCAAGGAAAGTGGCTTCTGTTAGAGAAGCTATCCTGTCTGCTCCTTTCGGCCAAATCTGTGTGCAAAAAAGCTCCTGCCCGTGAGCAGTGTGGTGTGGGCTTGAGTGGTGCTCAGGATTTGCCTGGCATGAGAGTTGCATCCACGGGAGTCTCATTGCCTGTTGTGCTGAAGTTGCCAAATGAATCTGGTTCAATCGGAATGAATTGAACAGCTGGGAAGACCTTGCACACTGAGACCAGAGCTGAGGGATGTGCCCCTGCCCACAGCATATATATTCTGTGTAGCTTGAGCAACACCCTTCTCTGTGCCAGGCCTCAGTTTCCCCGTGTGCGTATGAGAAGGCTGAGTCAGGTGCTTCCCGGGCATCCTGACTCCGTGTGGAGGCAGTCTCCTGCAGGCAGAGAGCAGTCCCCCATGGAGGCAGCTGCCCATGTGGTTCAGTGTGTGGTGTGTGTGGGGTAGGGGGAGATCTGAATGCCGAGTTTCCCATCAAGGAATGGCCAGCAGAAAATAAGCTCAGGTCAGGATTTGAAGGGGATGCAGGATGGAAGCAAACAAGGAGCTCTGACACCTACAGCCTGACTGGGAGGTTGGCGAGGGAGAGAGGGTGTCAGTCAGGGAGGGCAAGGAGGGGAAGGGAAGCTTTACCTCTGTGGCTGCATGGCAGGTCTGGCTCCTGCACTGCTCCCAGGGACTGGGCCTTGCTTGCGGTCTGTCCCCACGTGTCTCCGGAGCCAACAGGCAGCTGAGAAGTGGAAGGGAGCACAGTGCCATCAAAAGACCCCTGTGCACTCTTATACAGGTTTTTTGGAGGGCAGTTTGCTGACAAAAGGAAAAATGTGAAAAACCTGTAGACTCATTGCTTCAGTGATTCCACGTCTGGGAAAAAGCCACCTCTGAGTTTCCTGATCTCAGACATGGTTGCAGCTCCTCACTGTGCCCCTGGCCAGCCACTCTCCTGCCTGACACCCTTTACGTCTGAGAGCCTCTTTCTTCTTTCTCCTCCTAAAGCCTCGTGGGGTCTTTAGCTTCTGGGCGTGACTCCCGTGTCCTTCCTCCCAGCCTGGCCATGGACTGGTGTCTCAGCTACAGACTCTTCATGTAAAGGGTCTGTCATCCTGTTCTGAGGCCCAGAAATCCCCAGGGTGCATTTTCCCCAGGAGTGAAGGGAGTCCTCAGGCAGCAGCTGTGGACTCCAGGGACCCTGTTAGTCCCAGAAGCAATTTAAAGATAGGAACATCAAGTGAGCAAAGGGTGTAGGCCCTGTATACCTGGGGACTCCAGGGACCACACTGCCCAGTCCCAATCAGAAGCAGTGACTGGGACACAACCACCTGGGTGGAGAGGAGCACAGAGTTGGGGCCAGCTTCCTCCGGAGCTGTCCCTGGGCTCCCAGACAGGCCAGGGTTCCTTTCACAGACATGCGCAGGGCCTCCCACATGGGGAGGCGGCACCAATGTCCGGACGGTGTACCTGGGATCTTATGCTGACAATCAAGCTACAACACATATCTTCGCATATGTATAACTTCACAAGTGGTAGGCATATGTTTTGTGCACATTTGTAATTTTGATAGGTATTGCCAAATTTCCATAGTCCTGTCAACAGTGTGTGAGTGTTAGTTTTTCCACACTGTTCTCACAGCTTCTTGGTCTTGAGGCTTTCTGGTGTTTGCCATTCTGAAAGGTGAGAAGTGATGTCTTCACACTGTAGTGTTTAAGATCTTTGGTATTTAGAATAATTTAAAATGTGAAAGATAACACAGTAGGTAAGTGCATATGTAACACGTATTTGTGATTTAAAGAATGCTAAAGAAGTCACCACCTAATCTAAGGAGTAGGACATTGCCCATCTGTTGGAAGCTCCCAGGGTGTTCCCTCCTAGCCTCAGTCCTCTCCCTCCCCTCCCAGAGATAGCCACACTCCTGAGCTCAGTTACAGTCATTCCCTGCTTTTACTGATTTTGATCATCTATGTATGCATCCTTAAAACAGTATAGTTTAGGTTTTCTTCCTTCAAAATGCTGTACAAATTGGATCACTTGGATCTATTTCTGACTTATTTTTTCATTCAACGTCATGTTTTTGAGATTCATTTATGTTCATGAGTGTAGCTAAATTCATTAATTTATATTGTTAAAGCCCATTACGTGAATGTGGCCCAGCTCACTGATACATTGTACTTTGGTGGATACTTGGGGTGCCTCCCAACTGAGTTCTGTCATAAGTATTTTGTACGTTTTTCCTGGTACACATATGTATTTCCAATTGTCCTAGCTGCATTTATAACCCATCCTCCCCCCCGACCCCACCCCCCACCCCCGTGAGCGGTAACACCCTTCTTTCATACATCAAGTCTCCCAAATGAATGGGTTCCTTGCAGGGGTCGCTCTTCTTCCCCAGCAGATTGTCTATTCCAACACCACGCCCCTGTTCGCAGGGCTGCTTGGATGTCTTTGTTTCTTGTGGGATGAGTCCCTCTGGTTCCATCTGCTACCTCTTCACACTGTCAGGGTCATTCTTGGTCCTTTGTTCTTCCACATAAATTACTGAGCCAGCTTCTTAAATTCCACAATAATTATTTTAGGGATTTAGAAACTGAGATTACATTGGATCTATAGATCAATTTGGGGAGAACTAATATCTCTATAATAATGAGTTTTCTAACCCATAAATGAGAGGTATTCCTCCTCTATTTTAATATCATTCAAAA